CCTCTACTAGGTATATACCCAGATGATCAAAAATTATTTTACAACAAAGACATTTGCACCAGAAAGTTTACTGCAGCCCAATTCATAATAGCCAAGACATGGAAACAGCTCAAGTGCCCATCGACCCATGAATGGATTAACAAATCGTGGTATATGTACATCATGGAATACTATGCAGCCATAAAAAAGGATAGAGACTTCACATCTTTTATGTTTACCTGGATGGAGCTGGAACATATTCTTCTTAGCAAAGTATCTCAAGAATGGGAAATAAAGTATCCAATGTACTGGATACAATTATGAAATTAATATATAATCACCTAGACACTCATATGAATGGCAAAACATAACTCTAGTCCAAAAAGTAGAAGGCAAGAGGAGAGAAAGGGTAGAGGAGGGGGATATGGGCAGAAGGAGGGTATCTGGGGGGACCTTACCTAATGTGCATGATGCAATGGTACATTTCAAAACTATTAAGAAATGAGTATAATTGTGATGGATGTGTTACTTAGTTCAATGTAAGCGTTTCACATGGTATTTTGAACCAGTACCCTGAACCACATAAATGCATCAATGTACAAAGGTATGATTTAATAAAAAATAATAAAAGAAATGTATACAGATGCCAAATAAGCAAGAAAAAAAAAAAAGAGGTGGGAATACTGGAGGCCTGATAATGCCCCTATCTCACAACTTCCATCTCACTTATGGGCCAAACACCAAGAGATGGCACAAAACCACGATCATAGTTTTGGAAGGTCTCAAGGGCTGTGAATCCTAAACCCCAAACCCCAGCCTCAGCCTGGCAGAGAAAGGACCTGAATTCAGGCAGCATCTGAGCCAATGCGCCCCCTAGTGTCAAGCAAAGACAGAACCATGGCCTTTCCAAGGCCCATCCTGGGCTTGCTGAGCCTCTTCCAGTGAAATTAATGTTATATCCAAGTTATGCTTTAACCATTTCGAGCTATATTCACCCTTTTAGGCTTCTGGGAGAAGCAGAAAGACTACTTCATTCTACATATTTTCTATACTTTGACGAAATAGACATCAACATTTTCTAACACCACTCATTCAAAAACAACAGACGCACCCACCCATACATTGTGTTTGATTTTAAATATTGATATTCTTTATAAAAAGATTATTAACTTAAAAGATAATAATGGCTTGGCACCTGTGGCTCAAGTGGCTAAGGCACCAGCCACATACACCTGAGCTGGTGGGTTCAAATCCAGCCCAAGCCCACCAAACAACAACAACGGCTGCAACCAAAAAATAGCTGGTCGTTGTGGCGGGTGTCTATAGTCTCAGCTACTTGGGAGGCTGAGGCAAGACAATCGCTTGAGCCCAGGAGTTGGAGGTTGCTATGAGCTGTGATGCCATGACCCTCTACCCAGGGTGACAGCTTGAGGCTCTGCCTCAAAAAAAAAAAAGATAATAAAAGAAGCTTGAAATATTTCTCTGATTGTACTTTCTCTTTTATTTCATATAGTCTTGAGTTTGAGAATCATGTTAATGTTCTACATTTAAAAAATAAATTTTACCAATAAGGATGGGGAAGGAGCCTAAAGCTGAATGCAGAGACGAAAATATGTAACTAATTAAAATGAATAATATGGCTACGGTGAATTTAAAAACAAAATTACTTGAGACTGCAAACTAATACAATCTTTCTGGAAGGAAGTATGAAGAATCCTCAAAGAACTCAAATTAGACCTCCCCTTATTTTTCCTTCTGGGAAAAGCATGAACGCAGTCCCCCACTACCACAAATTATGCAGTTCAGTTTCCCCTTTTGGGGGAAATCACAGGGGTCAGCATATCCAGAGTATAATGGATAAGCCTCGCCTTAGGAAAACCACCTTCATGATCATGGCATCTCCCCTGCCAGGTAAGTATAGACCTCCCATTTGATGTTGCAATCCCATTACTAGGCATCTACACAAAGGAAAAAAAATCCTTTTATCATAGGGACAGTTGCACTAGACTATTTACCAGAGCTTAATTTACAATCACCAAAATGTGGAAACATGGCTTGGCACCTGTAGTTCAGTGGCTAGGGTGCCAGCCACATACACCAGGGCTGGCAGGTTTGAACCTAGCCAGGGCCTGCCAAACAACAATAGCAAGTACAACAACAACAAAAATAGCTGGGCTTTGTGGTGGGCACCTGTAGTCCCACCTACTTGGGAAGTTGAGGCAAAAGAATCACTTAAGCACAAGAGTTTGAGGTTGCTGTGAGCTGTGACGCCATTGCACTCTACCAAGGTGACATAGTGAGACTCTGTGTCAAAAAACAAACAAACAAAAAAATGTGGAAACAGCCTAAATGCCCACTAACCCAGGAACGGATTAACAAGGTGTGGTACATGTATACCATGGAACATTATTCAGCCATTAAAAAGATGAAGACTTTACATCTTTTGTATTAACCAGGATGGAATTGGAACACATCCTTCTTGGTAAAATATCACAAAAATGGAGAAGGAAGAATGCAATGTACATGATACTAATATGAAGCCAAGAGGCGATCTAATACACATCCACATAAGAGAATTCAAGGTGGAGGGTAAGGGAATGAGGAAGCAGGAAAACGAGGGAGCAGGAAGAGAGGAGGAGGAAGGGAGGTTGGGTGTGCTCCACTTAATGGCACAATGTTAGGGTGGGTGTATGGCACACCTCTTGGGGCGGGACACAGTTACAAGAGGGACTCTACCTAACAAATGCAAACATTATAACCTAATTCTTTGTACCTGCAATTAACCAGAAACAATAAAAATAAGAATAATAAATGAAAAGCAAAATAATCTAAGTTATCTTCTGGACACTGGACTTGAACTATTTTCACTACTATAAAGAAAAATAAAAGCACTGAAAATAAGTCTTGAACTCTTCTTGGTATGTTTGTTTTTCATAGTCAGTAAGTATAGCCAATCCCTAAACTATTTTAAGTATATTGCAGGATTGATCAAATGAGTAAATATGTTGGTATTTGTTGTGAGCCTGCCGTCTCATTATGGAAGAAGAGAGAAATAAGAAATAGGACAAGGAAGAAATAAGCACAAGAAATAAGACAAGGAAGAATTCAGAGTGGGAAGCTATGTGGGAATTGAGGGGATCAGTATAAAGTCATCTTCCTAGCTGTGTCTATGAGATGCTGTATCCTCCCATTCCATCTGTTGACAGGTTGAATAGCAATGACATTCTAGAACAGCAACAATTACATATAACAGGTTTTTAATACCAGTCCTACTAAAAGCACAAGGACTTCGTGGAGAAATCATTGATCTTAGTCCTGGGGAAGGGAGAAGTCCAAGATGGATCTGGAACAGATAATTATGCCAAAAAAGTAATACAATGCCAAAAAAAGTCATAACGGTATGCAAATAGGACACAGGCAATAAGTAAAGGGGCTCCCATCAGCCTTAGGGATAATTTGAGAATCAAAATACATAAGGGCAGGAAGCACTTCTTTATAGCAGAATGACAATAAATATGGAAGGAATGATAGAGTTTTTAAAATTCTGACATAAATTAGCAATGGATACCAGGGGTGTGATGGAAACCAGATAAGGAAGAAGATATTTGTGTAATTTTAAAGGATTTCCCCACAAATTATTTATTAATTGTAAAGGAAAAATGGTAACTATATGATGAAGAAAGTGGACACCATGTAATGGTCAGTTTGAACATGACCTGACCTAACATCTCCAGTAATGCCTGAAAAGACGTGATGCTCTGAGCACACAGGCCTCCCCTGAATCTGAGCATGAAGGAACAACAGATGAACCCAAATTGAGGGATATTCTGTAAAAGAACTGGTTTGTATTTTCAACAACATCAATGTCCTAAAAGTGAAAGAGAGACTGAGGCACTTTTCCAGATTAAAAGAGACACAAGGGCACGGTAACACATAGGACATCACCTGGGCTGGGTCCTATGCTGGAAAACAGTTGCCCTAAAGGCAATGACTGGACAACTGACTGAATTAGAGTATAGATGAGATAACAGTATTAAGTCAATATTAAATTTCCTGAGTTTAACAACTGTACTGTGGTCATGTAAGAGAATAATATGCTTGCTCTTCAAATTACATGTTTTCATATTAAGGGTATAAGGCAATAATGTATGTAACCTACTGTCAAATTATTCAGAAAAAAGCAGCATTGATGGGTATCTATAAAGGCAAATATGTCAAAATGGATGAAATCTGTGAACTATTTTTTCTGTGAGCCTGAAATTATTCCAAAATTAGACTTTATAATTTGAACTTAAAGTATAGGTACCTGCCACTAGGTTTATTTTTTTCACCATTTTAAATGTTTCCATATTATAATCCAGACAAATTAAAGTCAAGCTACATTCACAAAGCTTATTATTTATATTAGTCAAAGAAGCACTTTCAACCAAATTACAATGTGATTCATAAATGTCTACTTTTATGCCTTTGTGATTTTCAAAATGATGAATCAAATATTTGATACTTTAAGTAACTGCATTCCTCTATGAATGTATACTTTCGATAAAACTGTAAACTGCTCTGAAAATGGAAAAATACTTTATTTGACTTTCTTATTAATAATTATAAACATGAAAGCACCAAGACTTATTTAATTCCATTAAAATTAATGGAAACATGCAGCTTCATTTATGCTGCTTTTCAATTAAGCATTCATAAAAAACAAATCCTGTTATTTATTATTCTATTTTCCAGTTCACAAAACTATATAAATTCAGGTTTATAACATTGACTAAGTCCATTCCATAAACTGGGAGAACTGTGACATTTGTAATCCATTTAAAATCATATGCTCAGATGAAATAACCATACAGAAGGCAATTTCTCAGCAATGATGAGACCCATTGTCATTCAGCTGCACAACCACTAAGAAGAAGGAATTAAGATCAAAAAACAGAGAAACTAAAATCAAGTTTCTAAAATGCCTTGTGATTAACTTCACTAGCATAAACCTCAAAGACACTAATTATCAAACTCAGCATTTCCCGAATTAATAAAAATATCCTTGGTTACTAGTCATTGCGCTAAGCCTCATCCTTCCACATTAAGGAGGTTTGTAATGCCCAGATATAGAAGAGAGAAGGTCATCCCCTTTCTTTTGGAGAAGGTCACCTCCATTCTTTTTGATCTGTCCCAGATTCTTTTTCAGTAAAAAATATGCTCCCTTAATTTCAAAAA